CTCCATTTTCTGAACATGACTGATGCATCCACATTGGCAGGAGAGAATGTGTTGGGCTCATTAAGCAAAGAGATTACACTCAGTAATATAGTCCTGAAAAAGGCAACCATAACAGCAGAGTCAGAGCAAAAGCATTCATGGATTCTGGATGCTGGTAACTTCTTTAGGTGATGCATCAGAAAAGCATCAAAATGTGTTGTTTGAAGTCAAAACTTAACCTGAGGATAAGTGAACAACAGCTGAAGGGAAAGCAGGTACTTATGGACTTGAGCTGCCATGCCCAAGGGTTCCCCCAGGCTGAACTGCCAAGGCCTTTCCTTCACCACCTGATCTAAGAGCTCATATTCTAGCTAGAAGAGAACAAGTGTGGAGAGAGAGCACAAAGCTAAGCATGCTCTGGCACCTGGCCCATCTGTTCACGTGTCTGTGATGGGGGTGGCCGGCAGAGATCAGATCAGGCCAGATTTCATCTCATCCACACTGCCTGTGGATGGTGCAGGGTTGGAGCCTGCTCCTGGTGACATTCAGCTTACCAGCAAATGCCGGGCTCTCTTCCCATCCTGCTGTGACCAAAAGCCCGGCAGCCAGGCCGCCCTGCCCTGCTCAGCGGCTGGAGCCAGGCATCACCTCTCCTCCACATATGCAGCTCCAGAGCTGCCGTGGCAACAAGCACAGCAGCAGGAAGGCAATGCAGATCGTTTTTGCTTTGTCTTTTTTTTTAACACCTGGGCAAACCACCAAGCACTCAGCTGGATTCAGCTGCAACATCTCAGCAACACCAGCATGAGCCACTTGCATAACCTCAGCGATGCTCCTGGATTTCTGTCCACAGCACAGAGCTAACTGGGCACACTGTTCTGCAAGCACCACCTCTCACCCAGCCCCCGCATTGCCCATGACCCTCTGCAGCAGCCCCAATGCCACCTGAACAGAAGAAAGAACAGAGACAAGTAATATGTCTTGAAATGTAGCAGAACACAGCAATTGCTCTGCAGAATTAGATGAAGGAGACTCAGTTCCCACTGTGCTCACAGTAATTTAGAGGTGCACTCAGAGCATTGCATGCTGAGCACATCTAGCAGATTGTAACTGGGATACAATTCCAGGAAATGCTCGGTCATTTGGATGTTCTGCTTCTTGAAAGTTCTGAAACTAAATACGTCTGGCCAGACTGCTAAGCACAGCTACCAGGAGTCTTCTGCAGATTGTTTTCCAAAAGATATAATTCAGTAGGAAGGGAATGACAGCTCTGGAAAAAACTGTTTTGCCAGGCTGGAATGATGGGCAGACAAATCTTCCACTTCATCTCAAGGATACATCTAAAAGCCTTTGATTCCTAGCAGGCAGGCTGTGAAGCCAGGTCAGCTCCAGCAATGGTTTTACTGCAGAGCAAGCACAGTCTGGAGAAGGCACAGGTAGGAGAGGAGTTAGCACCTGGATTCAGTCACTTTGTCAGAGCTAAGTACAGCATATTCTTATTTCCAGTAAAAAGTCTTGGCTTTGGCTTTACTGAGTCATGTTAGGTCTGGATGGCTTCTGTCAGCTCAGTGAGCACTAAGGCAGCTGAAAAAGCCAATAGGAATTAGCATCCTCAGAAAGCAAAGAACAGCAAGGCAGGACATCACCTGTCTTCACAAGACATGGGAGTACCAGCACCTTGAGCACCGCACTGAGTGCACACACTGATGACAAATATCACGGGCTGGACACCTCAAAGGGCACAGTGGACTCAGGGGAGATACTGAGAAGGGCAACTAATACGATCAAGGATCCTCTGCTCCCAAGTCCTGCCACCGCTTCCTCAGCGTTACGGCCCATTATGCACAAGAAGGAGCAGCACTATCTGCCACACAGGTCACAGCTGCATTCCTTTACATCTTGCCAGACCTCTGCTGCATTTACTTACAGCTGACTCATACAGCTGTGAGTGATAGGAAAGTGTGTATTTATCGTGCTTAAAACACAATTATGCCTGACACCTTTAGAGGTGGGAGCACAGGTGCTCCCAAAGTTAAGAATGATATAGAATCATAGAATCACCAAGGTTGGAGAAGACCTAAAAGATCATCCAGTCCAACCGTTCACCTATTCCCAATAGCTCCCACTAAACCATGTCCCTCAACACAACATCCAGCCTTTCCTTGAACACCCCCAGGCTCGGTGACTCCTCCACCTCCCTGGGCATCCATTCCAGTGCTGACCACCCTTTCTGAAAAGTAATACTTCCTCATGTCCAGCCTGAATCTCCCCTGCCGTAGCTTGAAACCATTCCCTCTGGCCCTATCACTAATGACACGAGAGAAGAGGCCGACCCCCAGCTCACTACAACCTCCCTTCAGGAAGTTATGGAGAGCAGTGAGGTCTCCCCTGAGCCTCCTCTTCTCCAGGCTGAACATTCCCAGCTCCTTCAGCCTCTCCTCATATGGCCTGTGTTCCAGACCCCTCACCAGCTTTGTTGCCCTCCTTTGAACACGTTCCAGGGCCTCAGTGTCTTTCTTGCAGTGAGGGGCCCAAAACTGGACACAGTACTCGAGGTGCGGCCTCACCAGTGCTGAATATAGGGGAACAATCACCTCTCTGCTCCTGCTTGCAACACTGTTTCTGATGCAAGCCAGGATGCCATTGGCCTTCTTGGCCACCTGGGCACACTGTCGGCTCATGTTCAGAGCAGACATATCCTCCCACTGTAGACACTTCAAGCATGGTAGTAAGCTGCCGATACTCAGCAGGACTTAGAAAATGAAGAGAGGCCCTGGCCTGTGCACACAGCTCACTACACACAAACGTGCTCCCCTCATGCACCTTCAGTCCTGCTGCCTCTGATCTGACAGACTCCAGAGGCTTGCGGAGCCAGATGGGACCCCAGTAGGAAGGTCTGTATGCAGCACTTAGCCCAGTGGGTGACGCTGGCAGAGGGGTAACAGCTAAGGACAAATTTTGTTCCCACTTGCTGATGCACTTGAGGAATGTTTTCTTCTCAGAAAGAATGTTTTTTTCCTTAAGTCAATGTGTTCTGGTAGAATAAGCACTGAAAATTGCATCACAATAAGAAAAAGCAGCAGTCAGAACTAGAAAGGTTAAGTTTTGTGTTGCATAGGATGAAATAGTCAAAATGACCTAAATAATGAATGCCTTATTCTGTTTCTTAGCTATGAATTGAGGCTTGTCATCTAGTCACCATAACTGGAGGAGATAATCACATCAAACATATGGACAGTTCAACAGCCATGTGCGCATACAACCGAATGCAGCTCAGAACACGTAGTTCAAAAGCTATTTCCAAGAAAATTAGAAACAAAACTGAGATGGAACTTCTGAGAGACTGCTTCATACTGACTTTCACTTTAGATGGATTGGATAACATTTGCCTTGACCTTCACAACTTCACACAGCTAAAATGCACCATTTTGCTTGAGCCTTTTTAACCCTGAAGCAGTGTGCTCCAGGAGGGAACATCAGTTGTCATAATTTGCTGACTGTTAACATTTCCCAGTTTCCTGCCACATCAGGTCTAGTTCAGCACTCTGCAGTGCATGTTACAAACCCATTCCAAGGATCAAGAATCCAATAAACCCTCCTTGCTAGATCTTTGCTTTGACAAAGGCTCTTTTCAAATTAATTTAATGAAGGTAAGTCACATAAAAGCAGAGCTCTCAGAAAACCCTTTTCAAACTGCTGCATTCCCTCACAGGGACTGAGATGCTTTGGCTGGATCTACCAATTAAAATGAGATTTAAAGAACCAACATTTAATAAATCATTCTGAAAACAACTGTAATTCCCATATGATATGGGAAAAATTAGGGGCAATTATTTCCACCTTATTTGGATAATGAATCATGTCAAATAGTTGAAACAGAAGTACCTGAGTTCAAGGATTTTCCACTACATCACAATTGCTTCACAGGTCAGTGGTTTGTTATTTGATATTTGCTTTGTCAGTTCTTTATTGGCAGCGTCTTAAGGTTACAACGAAACCCAGCTATGTTTTAAAAAATGGGTGTGTTAGCCTTGAATGCCTCTGGTGCTTAATGATCCTTTCTTTTTGGTACCTAGAGAAACACTTAGCTAACTGCTCAGGACACCGCAGTGGACAGGACAAAGATACGGGCCTGTACTAGAAGGTACGCCATCAGTCTTTTGCACAAAGTTATTTCTGTCAAGCCTGAATACAACACAATGCCCTTTTCCATGACTGATGCCTTAGATACCTTAGAAGGGTTTGGAAGTGTCTGCTTTAAGAATGCGAAAACCTGTGAAGAGTACAGACGGCTCTACATTGTTAACATGGCAGCAAGATTCACAGTCTTTAGTATTTTCAGACTGCTTGCTAAGTCTGGATCCTACCTGGCTCAAGCCCTGAAAACACCCCCTTAAGCCTCACATTCCCTTCCAAGCTTGTTCCCAACAGAGGCTTTAGTTAAGGAGACAGATGACAGGACATCGAGGTCAGCTTTGTGCATCACTGCTTCCCACTGTTACCTGACGTTTTGGGTAGGGTTCCACCTCTCAGATGGCAGCTCTCCACTTTGTGGATCATCTACTGGTGGGTGAAGAATTGAAATACATACATCTCCATTCTGAAAGACAGAAATGAAAGTTGTGAATAGCCTGGCTAATGGTCTGAAGACTCAATTCAATCTCTGGCTATACGTGAACAGAAATCTTGTTGATATGAACATCCCAAATTACAGTAAAAACCATGCAGAAACTGCAAACGGTTCTGAGTTCTTCCTGGGTCTACTGTGTTAACATGTTCAAAGCTTTCCTTGTTTACAGCTTGACTGCAGATTGGTACAAAACAATCTCAGGCCAAGAATTTTAAAAGAATGCAGCAAAGCAAGAAGAACAGTAGCTAATAAAACTATATTAGTCTCTAGATAGCATATAATACCATAGTAATAGAAATGAACTTTCTATTTGTGGGGTCACGAGACCCCACGTCCCCATCTCTTTTTTCCCCCCGTGATGACTGAGTTAGCAACAGGAATCTTTAAATCCAAGGATTCCATGCTCTATCCTAGTTCAGGTATCACAACAATGCTTCTCATGGGATGTATGCAAGTTGAGCAGATGGTGCAAGGCAGGCTTACACTACTCCCTGGTGGCAGAGCCATTTGAAATATCAGGTGAAAAAGCAGGAGATGCTCTCTGAAGGTTCCACAGAAAATCCCTTCCAGCATGCAAGAGGAAGAATATTTTGGCAGCATATGGAAGCCATACAGGCACGTAATCGTCAACCTGTGTTTAATTCACCAGTGCCATAGCCCGAATAAAGATTTAAAGTTTCATAATGCCTACAATTTATAAATACTTTAAGAAGCCTGTAAAACCAATCCTCTGTTTGCAACAGTACCCTGACATGATTACTTCATAGGAGTACTGTAGCAATATCCATCACAGCTGATGTTTCCCAGCAAAGCTGACACCAAGCGTCTTTGTGCAGGCTGAAGAGAAGCTACAGATGGGTTCATGTCCAGCCAAGACATTGCCTCCAAGCTCTGCTTATTTCCTCTTGCAGCCAGCTACAAGAACTACTTACAAGCTCTTAGAGGCATCCTCAGGTGGCACAGCCCAGGCTGACAGGAAGAGTTCATGCTGTCCCCTTGTCACCCTGACCTAATGGGTTCATCATACCAAGAAGAGAAACTGCAGATGAGCTCGGTCCAAGACTGAAAACTGGTAGGGCAGTTCCCCAAGTGCTTTGTCTTGGCTGCATCCTGAGAACTCTCCAGCACTATTTTGCCCACAGGAGCTGGAGCACAAAGCAGCACTGCTCACAGTGATAGCATCTGTGCCTTTGAGCTCCAGCCAGTGATCATGGCTGCAGATAGCAGCAGCTCACCTGAAGAGCCTCCCCAAATGTTCCTCATAGTAAGCTGAAAGAATGACATTTGTTCTATAGGGAAATTAGATCCTACTTCAACACTGCAGGCCTGTGATCGGTATCCAGAATTCAGCTACTCACTGAACCTGCCAGCTGTACTAATTCAGCAAGCTGTCATCATTTTGAAGCATCTTTTCATCAAGAACATAACTACAAAAAGCAAAGTAGCACCTGGAGCTGCTGAATACCCAAGCACACGTTTATGTGCTGGTACAGTTTGCCATAACAAGGCAGTTTCTCTTTCTGGATCTCAAAAGACTTGTGCAACCTATAAATATTTTTATTATCATTTTAAAGTGAAATTAACCTTACTCAATGTTTATATTCTCTCTGGCTTTCTTCCAAATTCCCTCTTGTTTACACAGGTTCTCCTTTAAACATTTCCCAGGAAAATTTAATGATGTTGACCTGGAAAAAGTGTTGCTGACCACGAGAAAGAGCTGCAGCACTTGTGGGAAGTCTTTCCTAGCATTTCATAGCATAGGTTAAGCAATATCTGGGCCAACAAATATTTTAGTATGAACGTGAAGAGGGAAGCTAGGATTTTTCCCTTTTGCTATAGTTAGTGTTACATGTTTGAGACCACAAACAGGGCAAGGTTGAATCTGAAGAAGCCGAAGTATGGTGAGACCTGATGAAGTCAGCACAAGCATTTAGGGATCAGTGTGGTCAGGTAGACAGTGTAGTCATCCTATATACATTTTCGAAAGATAAATATATCACTTTCCTTGTTTCTATCAACCAGAAGAAGGAAGAACCCATACATCTATTATGATGGAATGAGAAGGTTGTGTTACCTCAAAAATAAAAATCTAAAGCTAAACTAGATGACCGAGCAAGTGGGATGAGGAAAATGCATAAGTTACTGAAGTGTTTGCTCAGAACTGGAACGTCAGCCTCAACCTCTCCATCTGGTCTCACCAGCAGATTCTGCAAACTGTTACTTTCTTTCATCTCCACTACACTGAAAGATGTTTTTTTCCCTCCTGACAAACCTCAAGCCCTTCGCTGATTTATTCTCAGTTTCATTTGGAGTTATCCCAGTGCCTCATCTTCAGTGCTTATATGTTGTTTCCAAAACAGCCTGCAAGCTGTTTCAGATTCCCTCAGCTCCAAGAAATATCACTACGAACACAAAGAACAAAGATGAGTGCTGGAGTATTTGAAGAGTAACCCCAAAGAACACCCATCAGGTTTTGGGTTAGTTTCTCCTCCTACCTTCAGCTGTTTCTAGAGCCAATTTTTCATCTTTCCCACTGGCACTGGGAGAGGTCCTTTCCAAGACTCATTTTGTATATACCACTTTGGTAACCATTTCCCACTCACCTCCTGCATGAGAATGTCTGGATTCAGAAACATCTATGCTACACTTCTGCAATAATCTGCAGGTGTCAAGACTTTTGTTGCTGTTTTTTTTTTTCTTTATTTATAGATCAAATTCCCATGCTACTGAAAATGATCCTTAAAAAGAAATGCTATCCTTGGCTACATGTTAGATTTGGTGTCAAGTCCAAAACTGAAGACAGCAAACTGTTAGATGACTGATTTTTGGAAGACCCTGTGCCTAACAAAGGAATAGTCCTCCTGTGCATCCAGTAATTAGAGCTAATTACAATCCTGTTTTGTACTGAAGTTTGGTTAAGCTTTTGGCTATTTATGACTAAAAGATAAGTGAAGTTCAGTGTGACATTTGGAGAGCACTCATCTAGGATATCCAGCAGCAGTGACTTGTTAGCAAAGGGCCTTCGAAGCCCAAGACATCAAATGAAGCTCGCAGTGAGGAAGAGAAATGACATTCCTGTTTGGACCCATAGGAAGCCTGCACAATCTCTTTCAGGAAGACAAGGTGACAAGAGCATTTTTGAAAGGCCTTTAGCATCTTGAAAAGCATTCTGGTAGCAGTCCTAGAAGGCTGACATTTGGTTAAAATATTCAGAAGTTCAGCAGGAATTTGACTGGCCTCTAAAAGCTTGTTTTCATCTACACCTATCTACAACAGGTCTTCAACTTTCAAATATGGCTTTCTGAAACTGGTTGGTTTTGAACCAATTGCAATAATCACTTTAAGTTGCTCCAAGACAATGCTTTCAAGCTAGGGAGTGCTGCTTGCCAAAGAGCACTTACATAAGAATATTTCACTTCCTATTAGTTGTACCAATATCCAGTTATGGATTCATCAACCCATAGTATTATCTTTTGGGTGTGATCAGTGCACAAACTGATCTAAGGGCTGCTTCAAATTGGCGACCAGGCTGCACAAGACTTCTGGACTCCAACTCAGCTCCAGTTCTCTTGCAGTCAGAGTGCACCAAACCCCTTCACTTGTAGGCTGGTTGCTGCAGAAGACTTTTCCCTTTTTTCATGTTTTTTTGTATTTGTTTGATATTGTTGTTTTACACAGTTCTGTGGGATGTGCTGAAAATGATAATGAAAAGCACATCAACAACCACTAGTTTCTTATGTACCACAGCAGGGTAAGACACCTTTATCCAAGAACCCCTTGAAACTGCTGGCGTTCACACAGTGCTTCACCTGAGGCTGCCAGCTGTGCTTGCTGGTATAATAAAGGCTCCATCCTTGCCTACAAGAACAGCATTTCATACAGGTTTTAGAATTAACTGTTCAACCATGAATCTGGCATTTAACATAAACTGCTAACTGCTTCAGTTACGGCCAGAGACATTGAGTACCAACAATACACATTTGAAAATTAGAAAACCTTCCTACATGCCTGCAAAAAACTTATTTAAAAAAACAAACAAATGAACTTTTACCTCATAAATGTTGGGGTGCCACATTTTGGTCAGGAATCTGAAGGTAGGTGGTGAATACGGATAGTCAATAGGGAATTTAATGTGAGCCTGGAAAAAGCAAAATACCTTAGTTAGGACAAAAGGAGATAACAAGCTACTACTACAATTTCCATCAGGGCTGCAGAACATCTTCATTTTATATACCAGTGCCTACGTGGACCTGCAATACAACTCTACAGTTTCAGTCAAAACAGAACAGTAATTAAAAAAAGGAAAAAAAAATTTACACCTGGGCTCTAACAGCTCAAGATCAGCTCTAAAAATAAACTAAAAGGTTATATGCCATGTCCAAATTCAAGCAGCACTATCCAACAGCTGTTGTTCAGTAGGGTAAAACAGATGCGAAAAGACAGAACTCAAGATATCACTGCTTCTTGCTGGGTTCAGAAGCAAGCTAACAGCATGTGCTGTAGTGAGAATAGCTGTTTCACATGTGCCAATGCAAAACTTTTAAACTAATCTTTTTGTGTGGAAAAGAGATTTAAACACTTCTTAGTTGAGACCCAAGGGGTTTTGCTTTTCTTATATAAAAGGGATTGATCCATCTGCTTAGGTTCCTAACACTGTACTTCTTGCCATAGCAAACATGCCTGAATACTCTTTTTGTGTCTAATAAATCTGTGCAAACCAACGAACCAAATACTGATGGGCTAGGACAGCAAACATTGCCACCCAATACCCATGCTGTCAGCAGACACTTGTAGAACAAGACTCAGAGCTGAGTCTGTTGTGCAGAGGCTGCAAAGATCCCAGCACTGGATATTATCTTCTACGTCATCCTGTCATTCAGAACAGCCAAAAAAGTCAACCAGTACGGAATAGTTCTGCACAGCAAAGCCCAAAACCATCTCCTGGCACAGTTCAACCTGCCTGGAGTCCCTCCACCAGCCTCAGATGGGATCTCCAGAGTAGCACTCCCCATCCTCTGCCCCATAGCTGTGATTGGGAACACGAGAAATAAACCCCCAGCAAGTCACACATGGAACAAGCTTGAAACTCTGCTCAAGTCCTGCCACTTCAGGTTGGGTATTGGGAAAAAGTTATTCTCACAAGAAGTGTGGAGGCACTGGCACAGACTGCCCAGGGTGGGTGATGACACAGAGATGTGTCACTGATGGACGTGGTCAATGAGCATGGTCGGGATGGGTTGATGGCTGGACTAGATGATCTGAATGGTCTTTTCCAACCTCAATGATTCTATGATTCAATGATTCAGTTCTTAGCCACCTACCCCAGAAACAGTTGCTGATCTTGTTCTTAGGACAGATTATGGGAAGTTTTATTGATTATTTCTTTTAAACAAAGTTCCAGAAACATTTACAGAATTGATTTTGAGGGGTCAGGCTGGAGGGGCTCTGAGCACCTGACAGAGCTGTGGGTGTCCCCACTCACTGAGAGGAACTGGAACAGATGGTCTTTAAGGGTCTCTCCCAACTCAAAAGATTTTATGACTCTACCTAAGTAGCTGAATGCAGTTTTACTCACAGACTGGCATATGCTTGTGCACTGTAAGCCAAATTTTATTAAGCCAAAGTGCCAGGTAGCAAGAGCAGAACTTGCTGATAAAAGTTCAGTGGCTCACACAGCTAACATGCTGCACTCTTCTCATGCTGCTGGATGCACAGCAGTATCAAGCCCTTACACCACAAGAATTTGCCCTGACATATCCACAGTCAAATGATTCACGTCTCCTTAAACAATCCTAGCCCACAGTTTAAGGTCAGTTACGTGGATGGCACTGCTCCAAGAAGAGCAGGCAAGTGCCTGTTATCACTGTAGAAGCAATCAAGTGCTGCAGCAAGGCAGCTGGAATGCGCTGCCCAGCAATGGAGCGGAGCAAAGATTTACAAAGGACAGGGCAGGTTTAGTTCAGCTCAAGTGCTTGCAGACTTCTCCAGACCGCTGGGGCTTTCCCATGCCCACTCCTGTGCTTACATGCAGTTTCGTGAGATCTAAGACATGAAACAGCCCAAGGTCTGAAATTAAAAACACAAGAGACTACAAAGCTCAGGATGGAGCTAGCTAGAAGAACTCTTGGCAGGAGCTGTATGGTCTTACATACAGGTATAGTACCTAACTGACTGAAAAAAGACCTCACTGGTAGCATGACAGCCTTGTCATGTTCACAACCCACATACATGGCTGGGTGCTAAGGAAGAAGACCTCATTCCAGCCAGTACAGACTCTCTGCTCTCACGTCATCTAAACCTGAGAGTTTCACCTCAGGAAGACTACTGAAAAAGCCAAGTCAAAGCAGCATTTATGGTCTCTGTGCATGGCAGAATCATGCTTTTAGACACTGGAAGACAGCTTCTAGTTTCTAAACCCTGTTCTGCAGTCACACCTCTGCAATAGAGGAGGGCTATTGGACTGCCTGCATAGCAATCGTCATGGAATTAATGAAAGCTGATGTTTTACTATGGGAAGAATGCCTCAAGCTCCAAAAAATGCTCCAGAAAACTTCTACCTTTCTGCAGAGGCAGCTGAGACACCAGCTCGCCTGTAATCAACCCTGTTTAGAGAAATGACAGGACAACTCTGTGGGATGTATCTAGCTAACCTGTGTTTGGCACATTAAGAAACAGTACTGAAACACAAAGAAAATGAAGCCTCTGTACAAAGCTCAATTTCAGAGCTACAAGCCACTGGAGTAGGAAACTCCACACTACAAGCAGGGATTTTTTCCTACTAAGTGCCACTTTCAGGTCCCCATGCTGAGATCATTCAGAAGATGAAAAACAAAACAGCTGTTTTTCCAGAGCATAACAAACAAATCCCAGAGAATTACTCTGCATCTTTTCTGTAACAGAAAATCCCATAAAATTACGTAACACCACTCTATACTCACCAAATGCTATTTGATTTTCTGATGGGCTAAGCTTGCCAAGAATTTCCAAGACAAACTGCAAGACTGCTTGCAAAGATAAAGGAACAGCCACAATTACAAGTCATTTTTTTTCCACTGCAAGCCCAATTCTAAGTGTATTAAGAGGGAAAAAAAAAAAAAAAAAAAAAGAGACTGAATTAAGCAATAACTTTATTTATGAAACTAAGCAATAGCTCATGAGGTTTCTTCTTAAAGTTTCAAGCTGAGCTCTCAAAACTGCTTCCTGTTCCCAGCAAGCTCAGCCAGGACTGCTACATACTGAAAGCGGCAGAGCTGCAAGGGAGCTCTTTGTCAGCCTGCCTGCATCCAGACAAATGAACCTAGTACTCGAGATTTAACTCATCTCTGTCCACAGGCACCCCCAAAAGTTTCCAGCCACTACCGCATTTACCGTGTGTTTGACTCCTACAGACATAATCCCATTTCAGCATCTTGATTTCAGCTGCCTTCTCACCCTGGCTCCTTGACACCACAGAAAGCACCTGACAGAAACAGAGTCACTCATCCATTCCTCCTTCCCCAATTTATAACTTGTCATACTTACAGACCCTAGAAAGAAATGCATAGACTCACAGACCAGACTAGCAGAAGATTCAGAGTTCAGCAGGCATCTACTGCTACTGCACAAGAGCTTCAACCTCCAAATCACACCACAAAGCATTTCAAGATTATTGTTGGCAGCATCCTCACTTCTGCTGTTTCCTATTTTACTGTCTTACTCATTGGCATTGTCAGTGGTGATCACACTTCAGATTTAAGTTTTCTTCAGACTCCATACTTGGTAAGGCACAGCCATAGTGAAATCTACGTATGTAGGAAAAATAAAATCCTACTAGATATCCAAGTCATCAGACTGAAAATGCAAATCCAGTGTTTTTACCAGCTGCTGAAGCCCTGATTCAGTCACTATGAATAACTAGTGCAGTGACTTTGAGTTTCCAGAGGTCTTGCCACATAACTGAATCAACACTTACATATTAATCCCATCACCCTCTTGGTGGGGAACACTGACAGAAGTAGGACTCACTCCTAACTTAGCTGTTTAGAAATCCAGAATTTATTCCAGCCCAGCTGTCTATGACACTTTGTTGTCTGACAGTGTTTTCATTTACTTCTCATGCTGAGAAAACCTATGCTATATTTTCAGGCAGTGAAGGCAGGAACAGTGAATCCATCCTATTTGTCCTCTGCAGAAAGGCAAGGGGGGGGGGGGAAAGCTGGGGGAGTACCCATTTCCTGGAAAGCCACCAGCATCACAACAACTGACCTGATTTGGTGATATCGGGAAAGCCAGAAGCTTTTAACTGTGGCCAATGGAAACTGCAGCTTTTTGACGTTTCTGACAATGCCAGTTAAAGTAATTTCTCTTTTGTAACATCATCAGCTCAACACAAGCCCTACGAAAACGCCACATAAGTTAAACTGAACATCTTCAGAAAACTGTAGATGAGATACAAAGGAAGCATTTGAATTTTTAAAAGATTTTGTGCATCTCCTGCCAACACAGTGCTACCTGCACCATGCATTTAGCACAGAGAGAACCAACAAAAGCAGGAACTACAAGACCACCACGGGGTTTAGTGTTAATATGTAATCCCACAAAATGCCCTTTATTGCTTGCAGCACATCCAGCATTTATACAATTCATCTAGTGGATTTTCCTCTTCCACATTAAGCCTGGATTATGGCATGCAGTATTAAACACTGTGTGCTGGAAAACACATTTAGCGGAGGTCAGCAGCCTGTTCTGCACACCAGTGAGGTTTAAAGCACCCTGATGTCCTTCAGCTTCAGAACCAGAAAAGCAGCACTAAGGCTAGGCATACTGTAATGGCTCAATATTAATTTAATAACTTTTTCCAGTAAAGGTCAATTACTGAAAAAGGTAACAAGGAATGCAAGAACAATGTTGCTATTTCAGCTCCACATATTATGACCTAGGACCCAAGCACTTTATTCTAGTAGAACGGGAGACAACCCTAGTGAGTAACCTGGTCTGTGTCCTGGGTCTGTTCAGGGAAAAGAAGACAGAAAGGGGATCTGGTAAATGCTTATAAACATCTACAGGGAGGAGAGAGGCAAATGGGTGAGGCCAGGCTCTTCTTGGCAGTATATAGTGATAGGACAAGGAGCAATGGCATAAAACTTGAACATAGGAAGT